GTTAAAAACATAAACAGCGGATTCAAAAACTCAAGTCAAACAGAACACAAGAATACTACCCCACATGGAAGCCAGTCGAAGTCGTTGAAGAACGAACACAGTCGAAGAACGAACACAGTTGACAGCTGTAGGTCACGTGCAACAACAGACACGAGGAGCATGGCTGCTCTCCAAATGGTCCCTTCTTTTGTATTGACCCCTAAGGATTGCTAATCCCCCTTTCTAACTCTTCCCCCAAAAATAATATATCGCCCCTTTTAAAATGTATTGACCCACAAATTAATATTCATGAGCACAGAAACTGCTACGTCATGAATAAATTAGCATAATTTAAAAAAAAATTGCATAAAGTGTAGGTACTCCTTCTGGAGCTCTGCCACATAACCAAATATACTAGTGAATACAGGAACAGGCAACTGCGGCAAACATGTGTGAAAGCTCTTGGTGTGTAGCATTCTATTACTTAAGAGCCTGGATACGTGCAACAAATCATACTTTTTCATGCTGTATCAAATAGTTTTACAACAAAAAGAACCATTGCTTGGAACATCTAGTTATTTCTATTATTTAGGACAACAATTACCAAATATTGTCTGTAGTATATCATATTTACAACAGACTAGTTTTTGGTTTGAAATACATCTATCGAAAAAAGGCAATATTTTCTTTTATTTTGTAAACGTGTGGTGCAACTTTGGTTGTGAAATATTCAAACGTAATCGTGCCCGCTGAACATTCAAAATTCTAAGAGACATAACATCAAATAAAAAATATTCATTTTGCTTGTCGGTTTCTGCGGTTTAACAGCTGAAATACAAGATGATGGTGTTGTAAAGATTTACACAACAATTACAATTAGAACCATGTCTAGATCAGACCAGGAAATAATTTTTATTTTTTTTATTTAATTTGCAAAACTTAACGTGTGAGTAAAATTTATCTTCATTGAAACATATAATATTGGTCAGAATAAGAAATTAAATTGGTTACTGCAGACCTAACTTTCTAAGGCAACCAAGACCTATTTAATTATGACTCCCCTTCCACTCCATACCATTTTAAAGTTATTTTTATTGAAGAACTTGCTTGCATTACTGTGTTCAAGGGCAAGTTTTAGCTCGCAGACCATTTTAAAAAAAAAAACAAGACATGTGACACTTTAAAAGAAACGCTTTAAGGTGGTTGAAAGACTAGAGAAACCACTCACAACAACAAAGTGTTTTTTTGTACATTTTGTATAAAAAGATTAATTTTAGTGAAATCAAGAGTACTAGTAATCTTACTGATATTTCATTAAGCTGTCTTCATCCAGGCTCCAAATTTCTTCCACTTGTAGTCCCTGGCAACCTGAAATCACCACAAATTCACTGAATTATGGGAAGTCTCCAATCTGGTGAATTCTCCCGATTTCGATATAATCTCCATTTGGAGTAAAAGTGTGTTGTTGACATGACAAGCCAAGAATCGCGACATATACACACAGTGGCAATATTGTAGGCATATCAAATCATGAATCAACAAATACCCATGCAACGCGAACATAACAAGCGGTTACCTTATGGCCTTATTGGCCCCAACAAAGTGTGGTCGGTGTACGTTGGTCCCAATATATGTCATGATGTTACAAGTTACGCCTACGCCGGGCCACGTGTGTTGTGTTTTGGTTACGCGTTTTGTGATAATGGTGACAAACATTCAGTGTGAACAGAGCTATTATTGGTGTGGAATAAGTGACAATATCACAGTAAAAGTCATTTTATAAGTATCTCACCGAATCCTTTGATCAATTCGGTGAAAACCCCTGGATCACTTTCTATAGTACACCAATCTCCGGCAGGATCCGCCATTTTGAACAGCACAACTGCGCATGAGTAAAGGATCAACGAAGAACTATACGTCCGTACCTTGCCCGCATTGGCTCAAAATATTGACAGTCGTATCACTTGCTGTGGCAGACGAACAGAAGTACATGTAGTCCGTACTATATGATCATTCGTCCCTGTATCATCGCTATCGGGACTAATTTCTGGGGTAGAAATGTAACCATAGTGAACGTGGTTAACAAAGCAATGATATAACGTATGTTTTACTACGAGTTGCTTCTGCACTT